CATCATCATCATCATCATCAGAAGCAGCATTACCATCATCATCAGCATACGCAGCATCATCGTCGCTGTCGTCGTCGTCACCAGCATCATCAACAGCATCAGCATCAACATCATCATCGGCATCATCATCGGCATCATCATCATCATCATCATCATCATCATCATCATCATCATCATCATCATGATCATCATCATCATCATCATCATCATCATCATCATCATCAGCATCAGCAGCATCAGCATCAGCATCAGCATCAGCATCCTCGTCGTCGTCAGCAGCAGCAGCTGCATCATCATCATTATCATCATCAGCAGCATGATCATTATCCACAGCAGCAGCAGCATGATACTCCTCATCATCACACACCATCATAATCATCAACAGCAGCACCATTCAAGCCCAACATCACCACAATCGTCACAATCGTCGTCATCATCACCACCATCACCATCATCAGCAGCATCAATGTCATCGTCAGCATCAACATCATCCACAGAACAGCTTCTAACCATCAGAACCACCATCACCGTATCCTCACAAACAGCAGCCACATCGAAATCAGATTCACCTTCGTCCTCACCATCAGTGTCGTCCTCGTCGGCATCGTCATCTACGTCAGAATCGTCATCACCATCATTATCACCTCCTCCTTCTCCTCCAACTGTTCCTCCTCCACGTCCGCCTCCTCGTCGTCTTTACCATCCCCTTCCTCCGTCTGCTCCCGCCACATCTCCACCTCCCCTGCCCTCCTCCAGCTCGTGCGACAGCGGTGCCAAAAGGCTGGCCGCCGCTCGTGGAGCGACGAGCCCCAGGTCGCCCGCGGTACGAGGCAGGAACCGTCCGCATCGCATCGGGAAATCGGGTCGAAGCGAAATGCGCGTCAGATCGGGCTGCATCGGCACGGAGCCGAGATCGAACCAGGGTCTCCGCGCCAGGGTGCACAACAGCGCCACGCAGGCATCAGGCAACGCCTGATCGCGAGAACATCCCGATCGCGTCGGATCGAGACGGCCGAAATTGATATCGAATGGGGTCGATCGGATCGAAACGGACCCTGATCAGAGGGGAAGGGACATTCGCGGGAGGGCCCGTTGAGAGAACGGCGGCCCTTCCGCCAAACCCAAGTCTGGTCAGCCCCTGTCCCCAGACCCCTGCCGGGGTCCATCCTGACCCGTCATTCGAGGCGGATCCAGCCGTGGCTCGGGGGGAGCGAAAGGGGGTGATAGCAAAAGGGTATAGGGTAGAGAATCAGTCACGCAGCTGATCTCCCCAGCGCCTCCTGGCGCCGGGAGGCGCCCACGCATCGCGCAAGGGGCCCGGCGGCGGGGCCGAAACCAGCTGCACGCAGCAGATTTCGTACCCCCCCCCTTTCCCCCATGCCCCCTTTCGCTCGGCCCGAGCGGCGCCGAGAACAGCCTCCAGGAGGCCCCAGGACGGGGCGCGCCGCGCGCCCGGGAGGGCCGGCGTTGCCTCGGCGCGCCCCCCCTCCGAGGCAGGGCGCGCACCGGGGCTCTGGCGCGCGAGGCGCTCAGCACCAGGTGCCGCCGGCGCCGTTGGCGTTGATGACGCCGTGGGGGTCCTGCCGCCTGGACCAGGCCTCCCAGAGCATGATGCCCTGGAACGCCTCCGGCAGGGCTGCCGGGAGGCCGCGGCCACTCACTGCGGCCCCGAGGGCCAGGACATCTCGACCCCATTCCCCCCAGGCATCCAGCGTCCTGGACAGAGACTTGTCCACAAGTTCTTCACCTGGGGGCGACGTTCGGGGCCGGGGACCATCAAACAACGACTCAGCGAGAAAAGCTGGCCCTGAAGGGAATGGGGGATGCCACAGACGAATTCAGCAACCACCTCATCCTCGAGATCGGGCCCAGGCCCAGGGCGCCTCAGCGGTTGGAAACCAGGATGACCAAGCGCCCCCACTGCAATGCGAAATTCCTTCCTAGGGCCTGCCACAGGCAGGGCCACACAACGTGAGAACTGCTTCGCGCGAGGCTCGGAGGCATCCAGGCCGACGAATTCCTCCGCCCTCCCCTTGCCCCCCAGAATCCCCAAGTCCTTCGAAGCCTCTTCCAGGGTCCAGGACTGCAGGGCAAGGGCGGCCGGCGCGAAATCCCTCCAAATCTGCTTGACCCAGGGCGACGAATAACTGCGTCGGTCTACCAGCGATCACTTGCCCACGGAAACGCTCCGCCTCCATCTCCCCAAACAAGCAGCACAGAACTCGGGCATGGCGCTGGGGTCCTTAGCCCACGATTCGTACGTACGGAGACACCCGTTTGCCCATGGAGCCAGGTTGTGGGTTCCTTTGGGTTCCCATGCAACGCAGCGGCCTGGCTCCGATGCCATCATAGAGGCGTGATTCGACAAAATCTGATCACGTGAAAACCCGCAATCACGAGGAAGCACAGACCTGGGACACGCGGGGTAACATCATCAGCACCGACACCCAGACGAGAGCAGCCCACCCCCCGCTTTGGAAACAAGAGCGTGTGAAAAAGCTCGAGTGGACAGGTACCCCAAGGGACGGCACGACGCTGAGGGGCAAATAGTACGCACTTGCGGAAGATTTCCCTGTCCTCCTTAGTTAAAGGGGCCAGTTCAGGATCATCGTCATCTGCGTGCACATCCGCATCCCCCCTCTGTCTCCTCCAAATGTCCCAGTTCAACTCCTGTACCGACGTGCCTCCTTCCTTCCCAGGTTTGCTCCAAACCGTAAGCCGTTCCTCCGAGGCGGGCAACGATCGGCTTCCTGCTAGACGGGCGCCCCGCATCTTGGGGCCAAAGCGACACCGAGCCGCCCGTCTAGATAAATGCATCGCCCCTGCCGTTCGCCGCTTACCTCAGTGGTCGCTAGTTTCTGAGAAGAGGCCCTCAGATTGCGCGCGTAAGTGTATACATTCGACCCCGCTCGCGCTCCAGGGAGAGACGCTTCAACTCGGCATCAATGGCTGAGATCTGAACAGCATCGGCTACAGGAGGAGCTCGTCCACAAGAAACCTTCCGCCAGAAATCCAACCCAGATACCCCAAAACACCCATTTGATTCTTAACGTGGGAACTTCACGTTTTCCAGCGCAAAACCATCGAAACCCAAGAAACACAGGGCACCCTGGAGGCAAACAGGGCGTTCCTTGGCATGGGTTTCCCCTGTAGAAGCTTACCCCCCCCTCCCGAATCTGAATTCTTAGATGAAGACATTCCCGTCGTCTACGACATGCCTCACTAAATCCGTTCCGCACCTCCTGCTTCCCCTCAAAGTGCGCCGTACCCGCCCGGGCGATTGTCTCCTCAATCACCTCAAACATTGTATCGGAGGAGGACCGATCCAGAAGCTCACGAATGGGTAATCGCTGGAATTCCCCATGCGCCGTTCGTCGAAAATCCCACCGTCCTTCACATGTCCTGATGCCCCGCAGCATGTGGTCCACGCCCCATTTTCCGTGGGTGCCCTCCTCACGTTCCCGCCTCCTTTGCTATGACAAATGAACAGGACAACGGACAGACGGCCCCCGAGGAAGAGTACCCTTGATGGGTTGGAGCTTCGCCCCCAGCCCTCGCATCCAGGCGGATTTGGGGCGAACATTTACAAATACCCCCCAAGAATCTCCAAAAATGCTCATACATGGTCTTTAAAAATCGTCCCCAGACTATCTTTTGACTATTTTTGGAGATATTGCTCCTGTAGAGGGACAGGCCCGACTGAAAGCCCAGGGGGCGGGGGGGACGCATCGAGAAAATGTACAGCTCTGGATGTCTGGGCCTCCCTGACTCCAGATCCGCCCTACTTTGGCTTTTCTTTCCAACTTCAAATTGCGTCGGAAATCCACACATAAGGAGCCGAAAAAGTAGGGCGGAAATTGCTGCATCTAACATAAAATGGGGCGAAAATCCACAGAAGCAGGGCGGAAACAACAACAGAAAAGCAGGGCGGAAATTGGCATCAGCGGGGCTTGAAAAGGAAGGCGGACATTCCAAGCCCTACTTACGAATTTCCCCAAAGTAGGGCGGATCCGGAGTCCGGGCCTGGCCCTGCGAGAAAACCCGCGGCGCGGCAGCTCCGGGCCTCGAACGCGTCCGCGGGCCTGACGTCGTCGCCGCAGCCGGGGAGCCAAACGCTGGGCGCCTCCCCCGGCGGCGCTACAGGGCCTTTTTTCCGCCCCCTCGTCTGCCCCGACGCGAGGGCGACGGTTTCCCCCGGAGCCGTAGGCGACCCGAGGAGGAGGAGGAGGAGGAGGAGGAGGAGGAGGAGGAGGAGGAGGAGGAGGAGGAGCAGGAGGAGCAGGAGGAGCAGGAGGAGGAGGAGGAGGAGAAGGAGGAGCGAACGTCGCCTGGGGGGAAAGAGGAGGAGGAGAAGGAGCAGGAGCAGGAGGAGAGCTGAGGCCGCCGAGGGAGCCTTCGCCCGCGCCTGCGCCGCGGCCGGCCTCCGCGGCAACCCGGACAAGACGAAGCTGAGCCCGGGCCGGGAGGTCGACGTGGCGGCGCTCCCTGGGCAGCGCGAGCTGGAGCCTCGGGCCTTAGTGCTCCGCCACGGCGCGCTGCCGCCCGTCCCAGCGGCCCCCGCCGCTGCGCCGGCCGCGGGGTGCCTCCTCGCCGCGGGCAGCCCCAAGGTGGCTGCGCTGCAGACGGCCCGCGGGCGGCTTTACCAGAGACTCCGCGCTCTCCGCGCGGCGGGCCTCGACAAGCACGTGGCGGTGACCCTCCTGCGCACCAGGACGGGCTCTGACTACACTTTCCTGGCGCGCACCTGCGGACTCCCGAGCGAGGAAGCGCGGGCCCTGGACCGGGCGCTGGCCGCAGAGTACGAGCACGCCCTGGGCGAGGCGCTGGGCGACACCGTTTGCCGGAAACTCTTCCTCGCTGGCGCGGCCGGGGGCGAAGGGCTGCAGAGCGCGGAGCTCACAGCCCCCGCGGCGCACGCCGCCTCTTGGCACCTCTGCTTGCCGCACTGCCTGCGGCGGCTGGGCCTGGAGAGCGCCAGCGCCTTGACCGCGGTGAGCCCCTGGGCGCGCCGCAGCCTGCCGGCGGCCACAGCGACGCTCCGGGCCGCTCTGGGAGACGACACCGCCCACGTGGGCGACGAGGCACTGGCAGCAACGCAGCACACTCTGGCTACGGCCCCCCTCGCTGCGGCTGCCCGCCTCGCTGCCGACGAAGCGGCCGCGGACCCCCTGGCGGCGGCCGCTCTGCGCTCCGCTGGGGGCCCCGGGGCGGGCGCGCTCCTGCAGGTGCCGACGCTGCCCTGCCACCGACTGACCAACGCGCAGTTCGACACTGCGCTGCGGCACCGGCTGCACCTCGACCTGCCGGGCTGCACAGGCCCCCCGCTGGAGGCGGGCGCAGCGGGGCCGCGACAGCCGAGGCTCTGCCAGCACCGGCACCCGCACGGCGGGATCTGCGGCGAGCCGCTGGACCCCAAGGGGCGGCACGCGCGCGGCTGCGCCGTGGGCGGGTGGCTGGTCCGCCGCCACGACGCGGGCTGCGCGGCTCTCGCGGAGTGGTGCGAGGAGCAGGGGTGCACCGTGCACCGCGAAGTCCTGCTCCCCCACGCTGCGCCCGCGAGCCCCGAGGCGCGGATGGACCTCGTCGTCCACGCCCCGCGCCTTGCTGAGCCGCTCATGGTCGACCTGACCGTGGTGAGCGCGCTCACGCAGGACGTGCTCGGGCTCGGCTCTGCGCGGCGGGACGGCGCGGCGGCGGCGGCTGCGGCGGCTGCGGCGCGGCGCAAGCGGGCCCGCTACCCTGGGGTGGCCGTGGTGCCCTTCGTGGTCGAGGACCACGGCCGCCTGGGCGAGGAGGCGCTGGCGCTGACGCGGCTGCTGGCGCCCGCGCAAGACACGGAGCGCTCGGCGGCCATCCGGCGACTGCACCAGTCGCTCGGGTGCGTCCTCCAGCGCAACGCCGCCGACGCGGTGCTGGCGGCGACGCAAGCGCAGGGCTGGGCCGCCGGCGCCCGGCGCGGGAACCCCGGAGGGGGCTGAGCTGCCTGCTGACGGACCTGCGCTACGGGCGCCCCGCTGCCGCTGGGCAGGCCGCTGACGCCGCGGGCCACGCCCGAGCCGCACGCGCGCAGGCGCCGAGCTGACGGCGCCGCCCGCCGGGCGGGCGGCGGCGCCGCGCTGGACCGACGGCGGGGCGCGGGCAGGGCGGCGCTGCGGCGGCCGCGCGGAGCTGAGCGCTCGACTGGCAGGGGCGCTGGCGGGCGCGGCGCTGCTGCCGCTGCTGCCCCCGCGGGGGGCGGCGCTAGGGAGACGCGCCGCCGCGGCTGGGGCGGACAGAGCTGGGTGCGCAGCGGCCGCGGGGCCCAAGGCGCCGAGCCACCAGGGCCCGACGGCGGCCGGGGGGCGCAGAGCTGCGGACAACGCCGGGGGCGGGCGACCGGCGCTCGCGCTCGGCCACGCCATGCTGTCCGTCGGCGCCAAGCTCCGGTGCAAGCGAGGTATAGGCCCCGGTCGGCGCACCCCCTCGGCTCTGAGGCTTGCATGCCGCTGAGCGGTGTGCTTGTCCTGGGGTTGGGGGGCTGCGCCGGCTCCCGACCACAGTGCTTCCGGCGCGCGGCAGACCCGCGTCCGCCGGTGGAGGAGGAGGAGGAGGAGGAGGAGGAGGTGGAGGTGGAGGAGGAGGAGGAGGAGGAGGAGGAGGAGGAGGAGGAGGACGGGTCGCCTAAGAAGGCCTAAGCCCTTCGGAGAAACCCTCCAAGGCGACCCCGCGTGCGAGTCCCCAGGACGGAACCAGAGGAGGGCGCGCAGCTGGCTGGCAGCGCACCTCTGCGCAACGCAGTGGGCAACGTCGCATCGGGCGCGGGGCGTCGATCGGAGATCGAGCATCGAGGGGGCTTTGGGGTGCCCTTCTGGCCTCCGAGAGGCCCTCTTCGAAGCCTCCAGGCGCCGCCGAAAAGGCACCTGCCCTCTTCGAAGGCCCCTGCATTCCAAGAGGCCCCCCGCCTGCTTGGAAGGCCGCCCCACTCGCGCCCAACCCCTTGTGCGGGCGCCCCCCTCCCACCGCGGAGGCCGTTTCGGCGGCGTTCGGGTGCTCGGCCTCCGGGGGGGGGCCCATCACTGCGTCCCCGGGGCCGTCAAAGCACGGCTCGGAATGAAAAGCCGGTCGGCGGGAATGGGCCCATACCACTGGGGACCCCGAGATCTGAAGCCGCGGAAAAAAAGGGCAGCATCGGGAAAAAAAACACGGCTGGAGCCCACGACGCCCGCGACCCAATATTTCTGCGGAACTTCTCGAGTCGGATCCATCTGCGAGGCCCCCGGGGCCCGAATCTGGGCAGAAACGCCCGCGGGGTCCAGACCGCTGGGGAGCCACGCTCTGAAGAGACCACGTCGGGCGTGGGCAGCGGCGCGGTGGGGGGAGGGAGAGGCGCTGAAGCTCCCGCGGCAAGGGCGAGCCGTGCTCCAGAGGTCCCCGAAGGCGGCCAGCGGCTGCAGCGTCGGGGCGGGACAGGGAGAAGGTGCAACAACGGACCCAGACTGTCGGCTACGCCTACGAGTGACACTAGGCAAGAGTGGCCAGACATATGCATATACAAACACACATGCATATACAATTACATGCATATATATAATATGTGCATGTACACCAGCATTTGCAAATACGTATGCAAACACATAGGCATACACATGCATACATATAAGTGCATGCGCGTATACATATACATACACGCATACACATACACACAAATACACACAAACACATACAAATGCACATGCAACTATGTATACATCTATGTGCGTATGCATGCATGTACCTGTACACACTCATGTACCGTTCCATATACATCTACACACATATACACATACATGTAGACACACATACAAATACGCATGCATCGACATAAATAATTACTAGAACCATCGCGCGCGCTTCGCGCGCGCTCAGGTTCTAGCCCAGGCCGGGGGGGGGGGGCGCTGCGAGATCTTGGACAGCACCATCAAGCACAGGCACGTGACATAGTCGTGCCTCCTGAGGGCTTCTTGGGGACCTCTTGGGTCTTCGTGGGGGCATCTGAAGGGCTTCTGGGGGGATATTCGTGCTTCCTCAATTGGCTGTTGGAGGCACCTCTTGGGTGCTTCTTGGTGGGTCGTCTTGGGGCTTCTTGGAGTCCCTTGGGAGCAATTGGAAGGTGATGTTCTGCAATCTGATGCTGTCATTGGCCGTTTTGGCAACGTGGACGCCTGACTTGAGGCCACCTGAAGCCACGTTGAGGCAATCCGAAAGCCTCCCGGGGGCCTCCTGGAGGCAGTTTTGATGCATCGAGGGCACTGTTGGGCTATCTTGAGGCCCCTTGTGCGTTTCCTGGGGGCCTATGGGGCCTCTTGGGAAGCGTTTGGGGGCCTCGTCGGACCACCTGGGGACTTTTGGGACCGTCTGTGGGCCTCCTAGGACGGCAGGCTTTGCTGTTGGGTTCGCGATCCCCTTCTTGGGCCTCTCTTGGGACCGTCTTGTGGCCCTCTCGGGCCGTCTTGGACGCCTCAGGCACCGTCTTGGGGCCCTCGTGGCGTCCTCCTCTATGCTGCTCCCAACGCACTTCAGGACCATATCCCAGCAGCAATTCGGGGAGGTCTCATGGCCCCGGCAATGCTCCCCCCCCCTACAGCCCTCTTCGAAATCGAACGCGAGCGTTTAGCCGACCCCCTCGCCCCCGAATGTCAGCGGACGCGCGCAGCGCGGGCGCAGCCGCCAGTTTCGGCGTCAGCATGTCGAGGATGGATGTGGTTCATGTTGTTCCCAACGTACTTTAAGGACCACATGCCAAAAATAACTTCGAGCACCCAGAAAAGTGTCGAGACAGTGTCGAACGAGCGTCGCCTCCCAGGGCCCGACGCGTGCAAACCCTCAAGCTTCGGTGCTTTCTTGGTGCCCGAAGTTGTTCTTTCTGGTGGTCAAGGCCAGAGTGCGTTGGAACATCGCAAGTCTGGAGGTCCAGGGACAACGAAGTGACAACGAGCAAAGCAACACAGACGAAACGAGCAAAGCAGGAAGGACAGCGGAGGTCTGGGCCCCAGCGTAGGTCGGCCCCTCCTTGGAGGAGTAGGTCATGAGCGGCGCCGCGAGGTCGAGCGAGTGGCGCAAGTGCAGCAGGCGCTTGGGGTTTGCCGACTGCATGGTCAGGAGCTCCTTCATGACGTCCACCTCCAGGGCGGGAACACTAAGCGGGCGGCGGAGGAGGGGAAGGGCAGAGGTCTGAGAACGCCGACCATACCACCTACGCCGATCTTGGCCAGGCCTATCTTGGGCCCAGGATCGCATGGCCAGTGCCAGGTGTGCACTGCTGGCGCCCTCCGAGGAGGGGGAGAGGGAGAACAAGGCGGGGGGGGGGGGGGAGAAACCCACATGTCCGGCGCCTCCATTTCTCGAGGCGTCGGCCCGACACCCGGACCTCTCGACCTCCCGAGCCGTCTTGTTGACAGCCCCCAGGCCCGAACACAGCCCCCAGGGACCATACACGACAGTTGACCGGCCGCTCCTGCTTTGCCCAGGCGCCGGACTTCTGGGAACGGGGAAAATCGGGGATGGACAGACCCCCCTTTAGCAAAACGTGGTTTAGGGAAAACGACCTGAGGCTCAGACCTGGCGGGCGCAAGCCTGGAAAATGATGGCCACGGCGCCCTCTCGACAACCGGAAAAGGACAATTCACTGATCGACGTGTCACTGTTGGGGGCTCTGCTCAGCCCCGAGAACAGGGAGAAGATATGGGGGCGTGGAAGCGCCTGCGACGTGACGGGGGAGCCCCAGATCTCCAGGCAGGACTCATCACCGCTGGGGGGTCGGGGTCGGCCTCCAGGGGGCCGCCAGGGGCGACTCCCTCGGCCCAGCGGTTGTGGGGCTGTCTGCTCTTCGCCCCTGCAGAGCGGCTGGCGCGGCCGCCTCCGGGACAGCCTCTCCAGCGCCAGCGCGCTGGCCTCGCCAGACGCGCAGCCTCAGCCGAGCCTCGGGGGCCCAGGTGGGACGGGCCTCTACGAGCGTGCCGCCGCCAAGAGGCCGCGCCGTGCAGCACGGCCTGCCCTCGAGGCGGCAAGCCATTGCAGGACCAACTTAAGACCATGGCGGGAAGATCCTCCTCCTCCTCCTCCTCCTCCTCCTCCTCCTCCTCCTCCTCCTCCTCATCATCATCATCATCATCATCATCATCATCATCATCATCATCATCATCATCATCATCATCATCATCATCATCATCATCATCATCATCATCATCATCATCATCATCATCTCACCATCATCATCACCAACACCATCAGCATCATCATCGTCATCATCATCATCCTCATCATCATCATCATCATCATCATCCTCACCATCATCATCACCAACACCATCAGCATCATCATCAGCATCCTCCTCCTCCTCATCATCATCAGCATCATCGTCATCATCATCAGCATCATAATCATCATCATAATCATCATCACTGCCAGTATCAGCATGACCATCATCAGCAGCATCAGCATCAGCGTCATCATCAGCAGCAGCATCATCATAATCAGCGGCATGAGCATCATCAGCCTCATCACCATCATAATCATCATCGGCAGTATCATCATCATAATCAGCATCATCACCCCAAGTTCCAGATTCCACTTCAGCCAGACAACCAGAATGTCTAAGACGTCGAGCCTCCGCGAGCGCAGTATCGAGGGAAGCGGCCCGACAGGCCCGCCAAAATCTTCGAGAAACACCTGCTGCGCGAAACCAGTCACAAGCTTAAAACTCTAGCAGGGTGGCGGCAGAGGGAATGGAGATGAAGCTTGAGCCACCGCGGTTACGGTGAGGACGACTGCGGGTCGATCGGCCGAAATCCGCGGAGACGCACAGGATTCACGTACAAGTACAAACCATCCGAAACTCACAACTTTATTTCAGCCACACAACCAGGATGTCTGAGACGTCGAGCCTCCGCGAGCACAATATCGAGGGAAGCGCTCCGCCAGGCCTCCAAAATCTTCGAGAAGCACCTGCTAACTCTGTCAGCACCAAAACAGCAAGCTGGCCAGCGCCGAATAACCTGTAACTGAAAAAAATACGCCCCAAGGAGTCCCCGATATATTTGGCCCAGGAGCTGTAACTCGCACGAGCAGTAGCAGCACGCAGCCGCTCTGGAGAGGGTTCAGCTAAGTGTATGTAGAAGTTGCCGGGCGGGTCTCTACTTTGGGGCTGCTGGTGAACCCGCCCAGTCTGACTGCAGATGCCCCGCTTGCTTCCAGCACATCTCGCGACCTCGAGCTCGGTGAGGTCAAGACACTCAGAAAAATGCGCTTCTTCCAAAAGACCCCCCCCACTGACAGAAATCGGCGGCGATGACCGAGATTTCCCGAGCTCGAGACAAACGTCGCTAGCAGAGCAAATCCACAAGCGGCCACGAGCTGGGTTCTCGAGAGAGCACGGGACCTGCGCCTGCGTAGATTCGCGGATCAGGGCGGCGGAAAACAACATCAGGATGTTACCAATATCTATATTATCCGGGCGATTGCGCCTGGACCTGAGGTCGTAGTTCTCGCCGAGGCTGATGTCCCACAGCAACGCCGTCACGCCTGCGGCCGACGCCACTTCCGAAAGGCGGCCGCCCCCCGAGAAGACTTCGACGAAGACCCGCTGACGGAGCTGAATGGTACAGGACAGCGATTCGATGGCCTGGCACAACCTCGGCGGGTAGCTCGACGCAGCGTGCGCAGTGAGTCTACAGCGCGGGCTGGAGATCGTGCCCCACCTGCCCCAACCTGCTGCACTGCTCGTTGCGGCGGGCCGAGGGCCGCGAACGCCCGCGATCGCGCCAGCGGACGCCCCCCAAGCGGCGGCGCCCCGACGCGCAGTCGCGTGAGGCGCCGCCGCGCCGCAGCATGCAGGCGCGGGCGGCGCCCAGGGCGGACTCGATCCCCAGCGCCTGCACTACCATCTGGAAGTCCTTCGCCACTTCCCCGGGCGTCGCCGTGAGCAGGGGCGCCGCGAGGCGATGGCCCGCGCCCGCGCACTTCTGCTGGGCGGCCCGCCACTCGGCTCCCAGGCGACGGCTCACCATCAGGTCGAGAGCGGGGCCGAGCACCAAATGGCGCTCGAGGTCCAAGGAGACGCCCTCGTCGAACTCGCCTGTCTTGGACTCCTGCTCCGTCTCGGCCGCATGCGGGGTCACGCACCGCCACGCCAGCTTGCCCCGCTCACACTCGCCGCGGGAGGCACCAGTTCGACCGCTCTCACGTGGAACGGCACCCCGGGCCCAGGGTACAGCTCGAACGCCAGCAGCGCGACCAGGGCGCTCTGCACCATCTACCTCGCCACGACCATGCAGGGCATCGGCAGGCGCGATCGCGGTGGCGCCAGCTCGCGGAACCCCTGGAGGACGCGGCGCGAGCGCGGCATCAGCGCGCCCGACGCCTCGCTCAGTCCCGCGAAGAAGGTCGCCGCCACACACGGCCAGGAGCCCGCGCCCAGGTCTTCCCCGTCGAAGTAAAGCTCGTTTAGCCACTGAGCGATCGCCCCGCCCACCAGGCGCACTGACGACAGGCCCCGCCCGTTCGCCCAGACCACGAAGTCGCTAGAGATCTCCCGGCAGCGCGCCCGCGCCCTGGGCTCGACGGAGGCCGCCTCCAGCCCCGTCGCGCCAGGCAGCCACGTTGCCGCCCCGCGCCGGGCGGTGGCCCGCGTCGCCCGCAGGCTCGCCTTGCGGCGGAGGGGCCTGGGCAAGGTCGCGCTCGCGGCCGCCCCCGCGGGCTGCCGGCGAACGCAGCGCCGCTGCCGAACAGCCGGCGCGCGAGGACAAGCCCACGACGCAGTCTGGCTCGCCACCGAATGTCGGTCTGCCGCCGCCCAGGCGCCGGCCGCCTCCGAGCCGCACCTGCGACGCAACAGCCCAGTCCCCGGGCCCTCGCGCCCCGCGCGCCCGCGGCCCGCAACTGGGGCCGCCCGCGCGAGCATGGCGCGGGGCGAGGGCGGCAGGCGTCGCCGGGCGCCGACGCCCCCATGAAGGGCCGCCAACCGCGTCCCACTCGGACGGCAACCATCTGCAGTGGCGAAGCAAGCCCGTCGCCAACGACGGGGCGGCAATACTCTGAGCAACTCTCATCATGACCCGACTTCCACTTGGAGACAGCACCTGACACACTCATTGAAGTCCCGAGAACAAACAACAAGACGCTGACCGCGGTTCTGACGACTGCGAAGAAGGCGCCTGTAGCCACATAGGGTAGCACGAGCTTCGAGCACAGGAATGCCCTCGTTTCTCTTGCGCCACTCGAAGCGGCCGACCACCTTACAATCCTGCTTAATCATCTCCCGCGGGACTTCAGGAAAATCATCTTGCCGACCCAATCTCTCGAAACCGTCGACGTCGCCAGGGGCAGCCCCCCCCAGCGTCGGGGCCGTCTGGAGAGCCCGAGGAATCGCGATCAGGGCCAGGATCCTGGACGTCGTCAGGGCCGCACATCCAAGGGGCAGCGCCCTCCGTCGACCCCTCGAGGGCCGCGGGCGCGGCAGCATTCCGAGCCCAGCGCCCAGCGCGGCGACGAGGGCCCCCAAGGGCGCCCCCCGCCCCCGGCGCCACCTCTCGGATGCACGGCCAACCTGCGAGGGAAGCAAGGACCCACAACGGCTAGAGCAGGCGCCGAGGCCCCACTTGCTCGCGTCGACCGCGACAACCACGCCACCCCAAGCAGCCCGAAAATCACGATAAAGGAGCGGAGCGATGGCACCCCACGCGCTGAACCCACGACGAACGGAGGGCTACGAAGTAGCGCCAGCGTCGTAATGCTCGCGAAGAAAACATACAACCATAAGAGTTCCCAAGCAAACTGAAGCCTTCCCGCCGAACCAAAAGATCAAAACAGGATGGCCGAGAAGCTTCGTGAAGCCCCAGCCTCTCGCGCGACCGCGAGCAAGAAGAGCGCGCATATCCGGCCGAGCCCGCCGCAAACGCTTGAAAGAAGCAACGAGTCGCCCACTCCTCCAGTCGATGACCCAGCCCAGCAGCTCGGCACTGGCACCCCCCTCTACGACCCCCCTCATGAACGACGAGACATCGGCGACGCAGAACAACAAAGGCAAGCGACGCGGCCTTTTCCACGTTGTCCCGGTTGAACGGGATCGCCGCGCAGTTGTCCGCGTACTGAGCGCGACATGGCTGGCTGAGGCCGGCGCTGCTCGCTCCGTTGGCAAGCCTAGATTCGGGGCCCGAACCCGCCGCCTCGACGACCCCCTCGTGGGCCTTCTGACAGAGCTACAGAGCCCTGGACCAGCCCATTCGGATAACAGCAAGCCTGGGATATATTCTCTCATGCGCGGCCACGGCCCGACCCCCAATCTTCGCGCAGCCCGCAGACCCAGCCCGCGCGGGCCGAAAAGTAAAACAAATTCGGAGAGGCTCGGGGAGGCCCACGCGATAAAGCGCATCGCCGAGAACCGCCCCACCTGCAAAGATCTCTTCGTCGGAGCCCAGCTCGACGGCCGCAAGGCCCTCGCCAGTGCAAAGAGAGGCCCCCCCCTCTCTGAGACTATTCGAGCGTCTGCTATCCATGACAAGCCTCAGCCCATTCTTTTTGGCCGCGAAAGAAGGCCCCGCTCGCAGCGCGTCCGCCATCCGCGCGCAATATTGAGCGCCCCACGGGCGGCCAGCGCCGCTTTGAACTCCTCGAAAGCACGAGGGCGTTAAGCTCCAGGTCGGAGCATGGAGACACAACGCCCGGCGCCGCGACCGCTCCGGCGGGGCGCTATTCAACCGGCAGAAGTCATCTGCAATTTGGCACCCGCCCTCGCCCGACAGCTCAGACAAAGGACCAGCGCCAGGAAAGCCCGAGTGCAGCGAGACGTCGGCGAGAGAGCAGCGACTGGGCGAAACGCCGCCCACGGCGCACCAGCTCGCCGCGCGAAGCTTCCTCAGAGCTTCCGCGGGAATGACCCCCCCAGAAGGAAGGCCGAGGTCATGCGCGGCGCGTCTGACGAAGCCCAACACCCTGGCCTGGCCATAAGAAACTGAACAGAAAGATCCGCCGTCGCCAGTCTCAGCGGAGACCCGCCCACAGGAGACTCGAGGGCGAGGCCGCGGCTGATGAGACAGCAGAGCGCGCTCGAACCCCAGATCGCGGGATCAAATTCGCGATCCTCAGCCCGACGCATGCGCAACCTCTGCCGCGCGCCTCGAGACCCCCCGCCAGCGCGCGCCTGATCCGCGCAAAAGAAATCCCCCCGAGGCAACGGGATCAGCTCGCGCGGCACGCGTCGGCCCGAATCACGCACCCAGCGCCCCCAAGAGACGCCCGTAGAAAAGGGGGGGGGGGGCCGATGAAAGGGGCGGGGGTTGCTCGAGGATGCCTATAATAAGCAAGCTCGCAGCTGACACCCGGGGCCGGGCTCGCGGGGGCGCGACAATGATGGGATAGCTCCGGCACGCCCGCGTCGGGCGCGCCGCGCGGCAGCGCGGGCCCCTCCATGCCCCCGCGCCGCGCAGCAAACCATTGGGCAGACGGTCGCCAGTCACCCGTGGTCTTTCCTGTCTTTCTTGTCATTCACTCTCGCAGCCTCGCGCCCCCCCTTGCCTTGCGAGGGCTCTCGGCAAGGGGGGCCTCGCGCTCGCCCCCCCCCCCCCCCCTTACGGAATCAAAAAGATAGGACAAATCATCAGCGAGCCTGCGGCGCGAGACGCCCCCGCGAAGGCCATCTGCTCCTCTAAGCTCAGCATCCCCCCGCGGCCCTTCGCCTCCCGCTCGCGAGCTCGCTCAGAGCGCCTGAACTCTATCGCCTGCTTTTGGCGGAACAGGCACTCAACCATCATCGAGTTGCTTCCGTCGACCTGATCGCGCAAGAACCCAAACTTCAGCGCCTGCGTCAGGGCGTGAGAAACGCGCCGCCCCGTCCGCCAGCACGCGCAAGTTCTTCGAGCCTGAAGCCCGCGCGGACCGCGCGTGTCCAGGCACGACGCCCCCGAACCGGTAGCCCCCACCTGCCCCGGCAGCCCCCCGCACCATCGCGGCGCCTGGTAGCGCCACGGCTGGCGCCACACCCTGCAAGGGGCCCTGCAGCCGCGGCGGCGCCGCGGCCGCCGGCGCAGGGACCGCCGCCACAACGGCACCGCCGCCCGCTGGCGGCCCCACGGGCGCGGCGGGCGCGGCGACCGCGTCGCCGAGCACGTCAGCCGGCACCACCGCGCCGGCGCCAGGCCCCACGAGCTGCCCCTGGGCGTCGGTCGGCAGTAGCCACGCGATGCGACGCGATGCGATGCGACCACCGTCACGGACAGCGCCCGGGCCTAGATCAGACCAGGTGAGCGAGGCCATGGCCTCTAGGATCTGAGGTGTCTGGATCCATGCAATGCGAGATATGCAACAAGTTAGGAGGAGAGGGGAAGGAGCAGGAAAAGAAAGTCCTTGGTGTCGGTGTCGGCGCGGGTTGGGCGAGATTACGCCATTGGTCTGAGTCCCGGGTGCTGGTCGACGCGAGGTCGGTGCAGTGGTGCTCGAGCGCTGTCCATGCTTCGGTGTCTCGGGCTGTTTGCGTCCATGTGATGCCGTTCGGTTGTCCTTTCGAACGGGCTTGCGTGGGCGGTCGGTAGAGGTCTGGTCTGCGTTGACGTAAGTAAGTGGTGATTTCGTGGTCCCAGCGCTTGCATTGGCGACCGTGCTGCCTGTGTCCCCGCTGGCGCGGGTGGAGGACTGTGTGCCGGCGCAGCACTCGCCATGTCCACCTCGTCCAGTCGCGGTTTGCGACTCGCGAAGCCATGCGCCAGACTTTTCTAACAGGGGATGCGCCGACCCCTATCCCAGGTTTCGTGAGGTTTGCGAGAGGATAAAAAATTTGGGGCCCAACCCTGGGATATACGAGGGGGGGCGTCCATCCTCGATAGGGGTACGTCCGAATACGTAGCCCCCTCGGGGTGTATCCCAAGATCCCCCGCCTTTTCTGAGCGGCCAAACTTTTCCGGCAGAACTCGGGGATTGGGGGAGAACAATAGCGTGCGATTTTCGTTTGTGCAACGTCTCCCAATTGTCGATGTGGTGGAGCTTCACGAGGTGCTCGGCGCGTCGCGTCGCTCGCTGGATGTAGTCGACCCATGGTTCCATTTCGTCTGCGGTGGTGCTGTCTGCGCCGTCTTCGCTGTGCTTGTCAGGCGTGTCAGGTGCATCACGCTGCGATGGGTTGCTGTCTGCGTCGTCGCTAGTGCTGTTGGTGCGGTCTTCGTGGTCTTGTGCTTCGTTGTTCGCGCCGACGAGATTAGGTCCCTGGCCGCTGTGAAGGCCGGCTTCTTCTGTTGTGCGTCTCCGTGGCGTTCTGATGATCATGCGAAGCATGCGTCGTTGCATCCGTCGTAGATGCTGCCGTAGAGGCTCCGCGAGGGTCCACGTCTCTGCTCCGTATAGCGCTGCTGGTGCTACAGTGCTCTTGAAAAGTCGGAGTCGGTGAGCCAGTGGGTAGTGTTTGCTGGTCAGCTCCTGCTTGCGAGACGTGAATGATGCCCATGCTGCTCGAGAGCGGTGGTGAATGTCCGTTTCCATCGGTTCGTGGAAGCTGATC